ATAGCACTGGGAGTTAGGGGACAAGAAACAATAGCACTGGGAGTTAGGAGGACAAGAAAACAATAGCACTGGGGTAGTTAGAGGCAAGAAACAATAGCACTGGGAGTTAGGGGACAAGAAACAATAGCACTGGGAGTTAGGGGACAAGAAACAATAGCACTGGGAGTTAGGGGACAAGAAACAATAGCACTGGGAGTTAGGGGACAAGAAACAATAGCACTGGGAGTTAGGGGACAAGAAACAATAGCACTAGGAGTTAGGGGACAAGAAACAATAGCACTGGGAGTTAGGGGGACAAGAAACAACCTAGCACACATAGTTAGGGGACAAGAAAACAAATAGCACTGGGAGTTAGGGGACAAGAAACAATAGCACTAGGAGTTAGGAGACAAGAAACAATAGCACTGGGAGTTAGGGGACAAGAAACAAATAGCACTGGGAGTTAGGGACAAGAAACAACAATAGCACTGGGAGTTAGGGGACAAGAAAACAATAGCAACTGGGAGTTAGGGGACAAGAAACAATAGCACTGGGAGTTAGGGGACAAGAAACAATAGCACTGGGATTAGGGGACAAGAAACAATAGCACTGGGAGTTAGGGGACAAGAAACAAAAGCACTGGGAGTTAGGGGACAAGAAACAATAGCACTGGGAGTTAGGGGACAAGAAAACAATAGCACTGGGAGTTAGGGGACAAGAAGAAACAATAGCACTGGGAGTTAGGGGACAAGAAACAATAGCACTGGGAGTTAGGGGACAAGAAACAATAGCACTGGGAGTTAGGGGACAAGAAACAATAGCACTGGGAGTTAGGGAACAAGAAACAATAGCACTGGGAGTTAGGGGACAAGAAACAATAGCACTGGGAGTTAGGGGACAAGAAACAATAGCACTGGGAGTTAGGGGACAAGAAACAATAGCACTGGAGTTAGGGGACAAGAAACAATAGCACTGGGAGTTAGGGAAACAAGAAAACAATAGCACTGGGAGTTAGGGGACAAGAAACAATAGCACTGGGAGTTAGGGGACAAGAAACAATAGCACTGGGAGTTAGGGGACAAGAAACAATAGCACTGGGAGTTAGGGGACAAGAAACAATGACAGTGTGAGTTAGGGGACAAGAAAAAATGACAGTGGGAGTTAGGGGACAAGAAACAATAGCACTGGGAGTTAGGGGACAAGAAACAATAGCACTGGGAGTTAGGGGACAAGAAACAATGACAGTGTGAGTTAGGGGACAAGAAACAATAACAGTGTGAGTTAGGGGCCAAGAAACAATAGAACTGGGAGTTAGGGGACAAGAAACAATGACAGTGTGAGTTAGGGGACAAGAAAAAATGACAGTGGGAGTTAGGGGACAAGAAACAATAGCACTGGGAGTTAGGGGACAAGAAACAATGACAGTGTGAGTTAGGGGACAAGAAACAATAACAGTGGGAGTTAGGGGACAAGAAACAATAGACACTGGAGTTAGGGGACAAGAAAACAAAGACAGTGTGAGTTTAGGGGACAAGAAAAGACACTGGGAGTTAGGGAACAGGAAACAATAGCACTGGGAGTTAGGGGGGGGGCGCACAAGAAACAATAGCACTGGGAGTTAGGGGACAAGAAACAACAATAGGGACAAGAAACAATAGCACTGGTGAGTTAGGGGACAAGAAACAATAGCAGTGGGGTTTAGTTTAGGGGACAAGAAACAATAGCACTGGGAGTTAGGGGACAAGAAACAATGACAGTGCGGAGTTAGGGGACAGAAACAATGACAGTGTGAGTTAGGGGACAAGAAACAAATGACAATGGGAGTTAGGGCGACAAGAACAATAGCACTGGAGTTAGGGGACAAGAAACAATAGCACTGGGAGTTAGGGGACAAGAAACAATAGCACTGGAGTTAGGGGGACAAGAAACAATAGAACATGGGACACAAGAAAATGACAGTGTGAGTTAGGGGACAAGAAACAATGACACATGGAGGTTAGGGAAGACAAGAAACAATAGCACTGGGAGTTTAGGGGACAAGAAACAATAGCACTGGGAGTTAGGGGACAAGAAACAATGACAGTGTGGAGTTAGGGAAACAAGAAAACAATGACAAGTGTGAGTTAGGGGACAAGAAACAATACAAGGAGTTAGGGAAGAAAAACAATGACAGTGTGGAGTTAGGGGACAAGAAACAATGACATCTGAGTTAGGGGACAAGAAACAATGACAATGTGAGTTAGGGGACAAGAAACAATAGCACTGGGAGTTAGGGGACAAGAAAAAATAGCAATGGGAGTTAGGGGACAAGAAACAATGACAGTGTGAGTTAGGGGACAAGAAACAATGACAATCTGAGTTAGGGGACAAGAAACAATGACAATCTGAGTTAGGGGACAAGAAACAATAACAGTGTGAGTTAGGGGACAAGAAACAACAGCACAGGGAGTTAGGGGACAAGAAACAATAGCACTGGGAGTTAGGGGACAAGAAACAATAGCAATGGGAGTTAGGGGACAAGAAACAATAGCACTGGGAGTTAGGGGACAAGAAACAATAACAGATAGGAGTTAGGGGACAAGAAACAAATAACAATGACATGTAGTTAGGGGACAAGAAAACAATAGACACTGGGAGTTTAGGGGACAAGAAACAATAGCAATGGATGTTAGGGGACAATAAAACAACAAAGATAAAAACAATGACACTGGCAGTAGGAGAAGATAAACACAAGTGACACACTGGCAGTAGGAGAAGATAAAACAGTGACACTGGCAGTAGGAGAAGATAAAACAATGACACTGGCAGTAGGAGAAGATAAAACAGTGACACTGGCAGTAGGAGAAGATAAAACAATGACACTGGCAGTAGGAGAAGATAAAACAATGACACTGGCAGTAGGAGAAGATAAAACAATGACACTGGCAGTAGGAGAAGATAAAACAGTGACACTGGCAGTAGGAGAAGATAAAACAATGACACTGGCAGTAAACAGGACACTGGCAAGGATAAGATAAAAAATGACACTGGCAGTAGGAGAAGATAAAACAGTGACACTGGCAGTAGGAGAAGATAAAACAGGGACACTGGCAGTAGGAGAAGATAAAACAATGACACTGGCAGTAGGAGAAGATAAAACAGTGACACTGGCAGTAGGAGAAGATTAAACAGGGACACTGGCAGTAGGAGAAGATAAAACAATGACACTGGGAGTAGGAGAAGATAAAACAGTGACACTGGCAGTAGGAGAAGATGAAACAGTGACACTGGCAGTAGGAGAAGATGAAACAGTGACACTGGCAGTAGGAGAAGATGAAACAGTGACACTGGCAGTAGGAGAAGATGAAAAAATGACACTGAGAGTGAGCGAATAATCATGACACCACTGTGAGTGAGAGAAGAAGAAGCGGTTATGCATGTGGAAGTTAGAGAAGATGAGACAATGACATTTGGGGAGAGAGAAGAGCAATGACACTAGAAGCGAGAGATGATTCAACAATGATACCCTGGGTGTGAGAGGCGTAGAAACAATTATAATCAAGTGAGAGAAGATGGAAAATGACACTGTGAATAAAAGAAGAACAGTGACACTGGGATTGAGTGAAAATTGACACAACTAGGAGTGAAAGAAGAATAAACAATGACATTGACAGTGAATGAGGAAGAAGAAACAATTATAACATTTGGAGTGAGAGAAGTTAAAACAATTACTTTGAGATTGACAGAAAAAGAAACAATGACACTTGGGAGTATGAAAAGAAAAATCAGTGATACTTGTGATGAAAGAAAAATCAGTGATACTTGTGATGAAAGAAAAATCAGTGATACTTGTGATGAAAGAAGAATATCAACTTTTTTAAAACTTAAATAAAGAAAATTTTCAAAATTTCTGTGGAGAAATGCGCAGACTGAATATCAATAAAATATAATGGACAGATGAGAGAATGTGACTGTAGAACTGACCAGGAGTTACCGGACCCTATGTTAAAGTCAAGAGACAGTGTGACTGTAGACTGACCAGGAGTTACCGGACCTCGTGGCTCAAGTCAAGAGACAGTGTGACTGTAGAACTGACCAGGAGTTACCGGACCTCGTGGCTCAAGTCAAGAGACAGTGTGACTGTAGAACTGACCAGAAGTTACCGGACCTCGTGGCTCAAGTCAAGACACAGTGTGACTGTAGAACTGACCAGGAGTTACCGGACCTTGTGGCTAAAGTCAAGAGACAGTGTGACTGTAGAACTGACCAGGAGTTACCGGGCCTTGTGGCTAAAGTCAAGAGACAGTGTGACTGTAGAACTGACCAGGAGTTACCGGGCCTTGTGGCTAAAGTCAAGAGACAGTGTGACTGTAGAACTGACCAGAAGTTACCGGACCTCGTGGCTCAAGTCAAGAGACAGTGTGACTGTAGAACTGACCAGGAGTTACCGGGCCTTATGGCTAAAGTCAAGAGACAGTGTGACTGTAGAACTGACCAGGAGTTACCGGACCGTATGGCTCATGTCAAGACACAGTGCTAAGTATTGATCAGATTTTAGTAATTTCAAACATAATTGAAATATACACATAAATATAAAATTTATACGGAGCGACAAAATGAAAAGAGAAAGAACCATGTTTAAAACGATAGTATCTGGAGCAGGTCACAGTTCATGTTTAAAACGGTAGCATCTGGAGCAGGTCACAGTTCATGTTTAAAACGGTAGTATCTGGAGCAGGTCACAGTTCATGTTTAAAACGGTAGTATCTGGAGCAGGTCACAGTTCATGTTTAAAACGGTAGTATCTGGAGCAGGTCACAGTTCATGTTTAAAACGGTAGTATTTGGAGCAGGTCACAGTTCATGTTTAAAACGATTGTTCTACTGTAGTTTTTTTTTTTTTTCTCTTCTGGGCGTCCTATTTACTAAGAAATGAACAATTCCTCCTCCTGATTTCCTCCACCTCCCACATGTATCACTGTGCATCTCTAGCTCCTCATACTAGTTATTTAATTATGAGACATTTCTGCGACACCTACTTACCCCGAAACGAGGCCTTCTTGCTCCTGATCTGCTCCCACTCCTGCATCTTCTTATTGAACTCGCTACTAACGCTACCGGCTGAAACCAAAAAGGGAAAGGTGTGGGGGTAGGAGGAAGACATAATAATGTCGTTAACACACTCAATAAGGAAAGGTGTGGGGGTAGGAGGAAGACATAATAATGTCGTTAACACACTCAATAAGGAAAGGTGTGGGGGTAGGAGGAAGACATAATAATGTCGTTAACACACTCAATAATCATAACACTAGAAAACCCAATCACTAATCATGGCGCCAGAGAACACAATCACTAATCATGGCGCCAGAGAACACAATCACCAGTCATGACACTAACACAGTCAGTTATCATGACACCAACCAATATAATCATGTGTCGTTACAATTGTGTTTGTGGGACATTTATTTGTGTTTGTGAATCTTGTGTGTTTGTTGATCCTTTGTGTTTGAGGGGCATGTGTGTTTGTGGGGCATAGGTTTGTGGGTCCTTTGTTTGTGTTTGTGAATTGTGTTTGTTTGTGGGGCCTTTGTGTTTGAGGGGTATGTGTGCTAGTGGGTCATTTCTTTTGAACGTGGAATAATTGTATATCTAAGTGTCATTAATAGCTGCACAATAATCACAGTAGAATACTCTGTAGACATCATATTTTGTAAAAAATGAGGACAAAAAAAAAAAATTTTTTAATAAAACGCATGTGCTTGTCTATGTGTATGTATGTACGTCACAAGAAATGCTCCCACAGGAGTAGTCCCGTACAACAGACAGACACGAGACACTCTTGTTCAAGACAGCAGTAGTCCCAGTACAACAGACAGACACTTACGAGACACTCTTGTTCAAGACAGCAGTAGTCCCAGTACAACAGACAGACACTTACGAGACACTCTTGTTCAAGACAGCAGTAGTCCCAGTACAACAGACAGACACTTACGAGACACTCTAGTTCACCACAGCAGTAGTCCCAGTACAGCAGACAGACACTTACGAGACACTTTTGTTCAACACAGCAGTAGTCCCAGTACAACAGACAGAAATTTACGAGATACTCTAGTTCAACACAGCAGTAGTCCCGTACACAGACAGACACTTACGAGACACTCTCGTTCACCACATCAGTAGTCTCGTACAACAGACAGACACGAGACACTATTGTTCAAGACAGCAGTAGTCCCAGTACAACAGACAGACACTTACGAGACACTCTCGTTCAACACAACAATAGTCCCAGCACAACAGACACGAGGCACTCTCGTTCACCACAGCAGTAGTCCCAGTACAGCAGACAGACACTTTCGAGACACTTTTGTTCAACACAGCAGTAGTCCCAGTACAGCAGACAGACATTTACGAGATACTCTAGTTCAACACAGCAGTAGTCCCAGTACAGCAGACAGACACAAGACACTCTCGTTCACCACATCAGTAGTCTCGTACAACAGACAGACACGAGACACTCTTGTTCAAGACAGCAGTAGTCCCAGTACAACAGACAGACAGACACTTACGAGACACTCTCGTTCAACACAACAATAGTCCCAGTACAGCAGTAGTCCCAGACAACCTGCCGACGTGGTCACGGTATGATACTTACCCAGCAGCGTGGCCATGTCGACATTGCCGGGGCTAACGGTGGCTGTCTGACCGGACATTCTCGAGGGAGAGGTTTTGGGACCAGCGCCGGCAACCCCAGGCAGTGAATCGCTGGCCCTCTTGCTGCTCTGCTGTCTGCTTACCAATGGCGATGACTTGGGCGTTGACCGGCCGAGCAGTCCGTCGTCAAAGACATCTGATGCCCAGTGGTCCTCCAGTAACACTTCCATGTCGGCCTCGCTGGTTTCTTCGCTGTCTATGCCAGTTTTTGCACGTTTGGGCTTTTTCTTGATGCTGTCTTTGCGAGTGTGAATGATGTCCTTGACCCGACCCCAGGCCGACCTATGAGATTTCTTGGATTGCTTGCCCTCCCCAAAGTTTTGAATATCGAGATCTGCGCTCTTGCAGCTGGCCGACTTATGCAGCAGCTTGGTGGCCTGCAAGCTGGTGGCCAGCTCTTGGACAATGTCCTCTTGCTCAGCCAGTTCTTTTATCACTAAACTCGGACTCGACTGACGGCGAGAGAGCGGCCTCTCTATGGTTAGATACGTCTCCTGCGTCGCTATGGGCAACAGTGCTGTTGCAGGAGACGTTGTGGTTGTTGAAAATGCTGTGGTCGTTATCGATGATGGCGTCGTGGAAGTTGCAGCTGTTGTCTCATGTTTGCTCCCGAGATACATGGTGGTGACCTCGATGACAGAGCTGACTTCGCTGTTGGTGGAGCCGCCATCGTTGTCTCTACTTGCCTGGTATTCCTCCCACCAGCCAGGGGGACCCATCCAGATCTCGGAGGTCAGGTCTGTGTCCTCTACCTCCTGCAAGTATACCAGAATGTATACTGTCAACAACAACATCATCATCGTCAACAACAAACACAACAACATCATCAGCAAGAACAACATCCACAACAACAATATCATCAACAAAAAGAACAACAACATTATCATCGTCAACAACAAACACAACAACATTTTCAACAAGAACAACATCCACAGCAACAAAAAGAACAATAACACCATCATCCTCTACAATATCAACATCGTCAACGACAAGAACAACCTTAACAACAACAAACACAACAACATCGTGAGTAAGAACAACCCCACAACAACAATATTATTAAGAACAACGTCAACAACAACAATATCATCAAGAACAACATTAACAACATCATCAGCAAGAACAACAAACACAACAACATCAGCAAGAACAACAAACACAACAACATCACCAGCAAGAACAACAAACACAACAACATCAGCAAGAACAACACCCATAACAACGATATCATCAACAACAACATCAACAACCACAACGACAACAACAACAACATTTGTTGTATGACTACAAGTGTGTTGAAGGTAAGGCAGGGGCAGACTTCCGCAAAGATGGGGACAGGAAATTGAAGATGCACTGGCATTGAAAGCACGCGGGGCTTGAAAGCCGCCTACTGTAAGGGATATTTTCAGGCGTGCAGTAAGGAGAGCAACGTTCTACGGAGAACTTGCTGACCGATGAAACACAACACCACAAAATGCATTTATGGCAATATAAACATTCAGTCAGCAAACATATTTTTAGCAGTTTAAATATTCAGTCAACACATATACATTCAACGTTCAATTAACACATTTATTTACGGTGGCATCAACATTTAGCTCATTAGGGCCGTAACATCGGGATAAAACTGGTGCCAACAAACGACAAGTACAATGCTGATGTCATCGACAGAGCATGAATGGTACAGTTATCTGCAGATAGGAGAATTTATGGAAACGCAGAAAAGGCAGAGAGAGCGGTTAGGAATCAAGCGTACAGCAGAAAATTTCTCACATAGTACATACATGTACGCTTGTGCACACACACCCGCACACAGGTGCAACATCCGCACACAAGTGCACACACACCTGCACACAAGTGCACACACACCTGCACAAAAGTGCACACACACCTGTATATAAGTGCACATACATCTGCACACAAGTACACACACACCTGCACACAAGTACACACACACACCTGCACACAAGTGCACACAAATCTGCACAAGTGCACACACACCCGCACACAAGTACACACACCCACACACAAGTACACACACACCCGCACACAAGTACACACACAACCGCACACAAGTACACACACACCCGCACACAATTACACGCACACCCGCACACAAAAACACACTCACCTGAAATCTCTGTAAATCACTGACTGTGAGGCCAGGCCGAGCTCCACCGTTGTCACGTGATCGACTGCTATCGCCAACAGTTGGTTGTCGCTCAGAACCGGACATTCTGCTGTTTGACGTGGACACCCGACTGCCGGAGGTGGACATCACATCGTGAGAGGCACTAGACGAATAACTGATGTGTGTGGATCTTCCCAAGTCGCGGATAGTTCGTATGGTAGTCCCTAGGTCCTCGTAGATTTTTTGACCTGTCAAAACTTTTTTCACGCGTGCCCACCTGGAGACTTTGGACTTTTGCTTGGAAGCAAAAGACTTACCAAAAATCCTCCGCTGTGACTTGCCTTTCCTCTTCCTAGTGTCCAAGCCGCCCATCTCTGTAGTCATTTCGGAGGGCACTTCCAGGGAGCCGGTGGAGAAACTTCTCTTGTGCATTGCTGACTTGACTTTCTTTGGCGTCTGATCGGACGATGAGTCGGCAAGTTGTAGGTATTCTAACTCTTCAGCGCTGGAGATGCGAGGCCTGGGCAGTGGGCTAGCAGTAGGCAGTAGACTGGAGGTGTCTACACTTGAGCTTTCTCTACCTTTCTCATGGTGATGTTCATAATGATGATGGTGATGCTGTCTTTGCTTTGGTGAAAGAGACATGATACCCGATGATGAGCTGCTACTGTCGAGAGAAAGATCTCTCTTTGCCTCCAGCAATATTTTAGTGCTTTCCAGAAAATCGCAGCGTTTGCGCAGGCGGCTGTTCTCGTCCTTGAGCGAGGTCAGCTGTTCCATGAGTCGGATGAGATTGTCGAGATGCTCTAGACCAGCGGCCTGCTGCATCCGGGGGCTGGGCGAGCGCTGAGGTTTCTGACTTGTTTTGGGCAGGGAGAGGAAGCTGTCCTGTAGATGCTGTTCCTGCTCTTGAAAGAACTTCATCACGTGACTGACGTCCCGTTTGGGTGACACATCTAAAAACTGAACGGCAGCTTTAGCCCTCTTCCTGTCCGATTCTCTACCTCGCTCTTTTGTTGTCTGGTTTGTCGAAAGTGTTTCTGTCGAATCTTCTGTTGACAAAATTCACATTTAAAAAAAAGACATCAAACCAGTACAAAAGAAGAGTTCGTGACTCACAGAATCAAATTTGATCATACGTATTTCCAAATCAGCAAATATGCACCTGCTAAACAGCTACCTATGGCATACAGCATCTACACATCGCATGTAACAGCTACACATGATATACAGCAACTAAACATGACATAAAACAGCTACACATGACATACAGCAACTGCACATGGCATACAGCAGCTACACATGACATAAAACAGCTACACATGGCATACAGCCACTACATATGGCATACAGCAACTACACATGGCATACAGTAGCTACACATTGCATACAACAACTACACATGGCATACAGCAGATACACATGGCATACAGCAGCTACACATGGCATACAGCAGCTACACATGGCATACAGCAGCTACACATGGCATACAGCAGCTACACATGGCATACAACAACTACACATTGCATACAGTAGCTACACATGGCATACAGCAGCTACACATGGCATACAACAGCTACACATGGCATACAGTAGCTACAAATGGCATACAGCAGCTAAACATGGCATACAACAACTACACATGGCATACAGCAGCTACACATGGCATACAGCAGCTACACATGGCATACAACAACTACACATTGCATACAGTAGCTACAAATGGCATACAGCAGCTACACATGGCATACAACAGCTACACATGGCATACAACAGTTACACATTGCATACAGTAGCTACACATGGCATACAACAGTTACACATTACATACAGTAGCTACACATGGCATACAACAGTTACACATGGCATACAGAAGCTACACATGGCATACAGCAGCTACACATGGCATACAGTAGCTACACATTGCATACAACAGTTACACATGGCATACAGTAGCTACACATGGCATACAACAGCTACACATGGCATACAGTAGCTACACATGGCATACAACAGTTACACATTGCATACAGTAGCTACACATGGCATACAACAACTAAACATTGCATACAACAACTACACATGGCTTACAACAACTACACATGGCATACAACAACTACACATAGCATACAACAACTACACATGGCATACAACAACTACACATTGCATACAACAACTACACATGGCATACAGCAACTACACATGGCATACAACAACTACACATGGCATACAACAGTTACACATGGCATACAGTAGCTACACATGGCATACAGAAGCTAGACATGGCATACAGTAGCTACACATTGCATACAACAGTTACACATTGCATACAGTAGCTACACATGGCATACAACAGTTACACATTGCATACAGTAGCTACACATGGCATACAGCAGCTACACATTGCATAAAGCAACTGCACATTGCATACAGCAGCTAAACATTGCATACAGCAGCTACACATCGCATACAGCAGCTAAACATGGCATACAACAACTACACATGGCATACAGCAGCTAAACATTGCATACAGCAGCTACACATTGCATACAACAACTACACATTGCATACAGCAGCTACACATTGCATACAGCAGATACACATGGCATACAGCAGCTACACATGGCATACAACAACTACACATGGCATACAACAACTACACATGGCATACAACAACTACACATTGCATACAACAACTACACATGGCATACAACAACTACACATGGCATACAACAACTACACATGGCATACAACAACTACACATTGCATACAACAACTACACATGGCATACAACAACTACACATGGCATACAACAACTACACATGGCATACAACAACTACACATTGCATACAACAACTACACATGGCATACAACAACTACACATGGCATACAACAACTACACATTGCATACAACAACTACACATGGCATACAGCAGATACACATGGCATACAGCAACTACACATGGCATACAACAGCTACACATGGCATACAGCAACTACACATGGCATACAGCAGATACACATGGCATACAGCAACTACACATGGCATACAGCAACTACACATGGCATACAACAACTACACATGGCATACAGCAACTACACATGGCATACAGCAACTACACATGGCATACAGCAACTACACATGGCATACAACAACTACACATGGCATACAGCAACTACACATGGCATACAACAACTACACATGGCATACAGCAGATACACATGGCATACAGCAACTACACATGGCATACAGCAGATACACATGGCATACAGCAACTACACATGGCATACAGCAGATACACATGGCATACAACAACTACACATGGCATACAGCAGATACACATGGCATACAGCAACTACACATGGCATACAACAGCTACACATTGCATACAACAACTACACATGGCATACAGCAACTACACATGGCATACAGCAGATACACATGGCATACAACAACACATGGCATACAGCAGATACACATGGCATACA